GAAGCAGGCTTGCGCCCTCGCTGCTGCGGAGGGAGCCCCCGGCGCGGCCGCAGTGGGGGAGAAGGGCCTGGGCCTGCGACTGTCACCCTCGCGTCGCCGCCCACCCCGCACGGCAGCCGCCAGCCCACCGGTGCCTAGCGCCTGGGGCGCCCCGGCCGCTTGCGTCCCTGCGCCCCGCCCCCCCGCGGTCCCCCGGGCTGGTTTGGGGCCCGGGCAGGCACCCAGTCTCAGGCGTTGGCGGCGGCTCTTGGGGTCGGGATTGTTTTGCAGAGCAGCTCTCCAGCTCGCGGCGCCTCCGTGGCGTCCCGAGACCAGGCCCAGACCGTCCCCCTTTACCAGCAAGGCTGAGAGCCCGAGGGGGCCAGCCGCGGCCTCCTCCCCTTCCTGCGCCCCGTTCCTCAGGTCGGCCTGCACCGGGCAGGCCCCGTGCCTGTCGCCGTGGGTGCCCCAGTGGGGTCCACCTGCTCCCCCTCGCCCGGCCCTTGAACTTGCCGAACACGACCCCGCACAGCCCCGGGCTGTTTCCTGTTCCTGCCCCCTCCCCCGGGACGCAGGTGGGAAAGGCCGCGGCCGGCTCTGCTCCACACGCCTCCGAGCTCGGTCGCTCTCTCCACCCTTTGGAGCGAGGAGCCCCGCCCGGCCCCGCCCGTCTCTGCACGCCTCCTCGCCCCCCAGGACCCCTCCGGGGCGGGGGGCAGAGCTGCGCTGGGCGGGCTCCGGGGCCGCCCAACCGTAAATCGAGGTGCGTTTCGGCTCCCGCTGCCAGGCGCGCGCCCGCCGCCCGGCGGGTCCAGGCCTGCCTCCTGCCTCCTGCCTCCTGCCTCCTGCCGCCCGCCCGGCCCTCGCCCTTGCCGCGTCGCCCCTCCCGCCTGCCGCTTTCTCGCTGACCCCCCTCGGCGCGGGCCTGCGCCGTCCCCGCGCATCCAGGAGAAATTGTACATGGGGATTTGGTATTTTGCCAACCGCTTTCTATGATGAAAATAGAATTGGAAATCTGGACACCGCCGCTGCCGTGCCCACGCTCCCGGGGTCGCGCCTCGCAGACAGCAGGCACCGGGAGCCAGCGGCGGGCCGGGGAGGCGGGCGGGCGCCCAGCGGCTCTCGCGGGGTCCCCTGAGCCCGGGCCGCCTTCCCAGCGACGTCGCCAGCCCGGGGCCGCACGCGCCTGCCTGGCTGGGGGCTCTGGTGTCCGGGCCGGAGCCGGAGCGGACACAGCCGCAGCCCCGTGTGCTCGGCCCTCGGGCGACGGCCCCATGGTGTCACCCGGCTGCCCCAGCCCCTGCACCCTCCTCCAGCTCCGTTCCCGGCCTCGCGCGCTTGTCCAGGGGACGCGGGTGCACGCCACGGGGGGCCGGGCTGGGGTCCCGCGGCCAGTGGAGTGGAGGCCGGGTCTGGGGACAGCCCCGGGCGGCAGCCTCTGCCCTCGGCGGCGTCTCGGCCGAGGGTCCCCTCACGCCTTGGGGACGCTGCATGGATCTGCCCTGGGAATGGGGGGGCCTTTACCTCCGGGGGTGTGGCCGCCGCCCCGCCCCAGCCCTGGTGCTGCCCCTCCCACCGGGACCTCGTCCTGGAGCCCAGGAGTTATTTTTGTTTGTTTTCTTTGGTTATTTATAGCCCGCGAGTGGTGAAGCTGCGCAGCCGCCGTCTCTCACCCCTGATGTGCGTCCCTGCGCCAGCTCAGGGCGTCCCCGGGGCAGGTGCGGCGTCTCTGGACTCCGAGCCGCACAGGGTGCGCGACCGGCTTCCGCCCTGCCTGGCGGTGCTTGGGCTGTGCCCGGCTGGCTGCGGGGCCCGCGTGATCCCAATGTCTGCGAGCTTTTCAGTGTGCGTTTAAGCTGCCAGCGGCCAGGGAGTCAGCAGTGTTGGCTGAGACACGAGGTGACCCTGCTTTCGTTGGCAAACAGGGCCCGGGGCCTCGCTGGGCTGGCTGAGCCCATCCCAGGACGCCCTCTGTCCAGTGCCCAGCCCTGGGTCCCGCCCCAACCGCGCCGTGTGCCCTCAGGAGGCCCAGGTCTCAACTCACCCCCTGCATGGCGTCTGGGCCTTGAGCCAGTAGATACGGTGACGTGTGTCCCCTGCTCACCCGCACGTCCATGCACTTCGCGCTGGGCTGGGGCTGGGGGGGTCTCTGGGGGGGTCCCTGGGGGCTCCTCGTCCTCTCCTCCACCCTCTGCTCGGGTGCAGGTGAGACTTGCTGCGCGGCGGCTGTCCCTGGGGGGCGGGACGCAGTTGAGTTTCTGGTTTGTTTGTTTTAAATGTCATCTTTTAATTATATTTTGGATAATGATGAAGAAAGACGCACTTTGGCTGTGAGAGTAAATCTTAAAAGGCTCAGAGGCTCCTTTATCTGCTGCTCCGAGCAGCTCCCGCTGGCGGGAACGTTTCATCAATTGTCGTTACGCGGGGACCGTGGAATTAGCCGCGGACGTTGCTTCATCATCCCGCATTCAAGTGGCAGGGGCTCCGCCTGCTCCGAGTGAAGGGCCTCTCGTGGTTTAAACACACTTATAACAGTGCGACAAGAAATAGCGCGTGTTTCATTTCGGGAAACAGTTTTCCTGACGGGCCGAATGCGCTTTCCCGGGCCGCACCGGCCGCGTCGGCCAGTCCTAGCTGTGTCGTCTCGACGAGGCCCCGGCGCCCAGCTCTGTGCAAAAGCGGCCACGCGCTCTCCGTCCCTCCTGCCCTCTCCGCCTGCCCTTCGCGCGGGAGGCTGCTGCGGGAGGCGGGAGACCTTGGTGAGTAGCTGCCGTCGACACTGGCAGGCGTGATCCCGAGTCTACGCTGGCGGGCGCGACCCTGAGTCTCTGTTTTCAGCTCCTCCTGGGTCTCTGCACGTGTGTAGGTCTGCAGCTACGCGCGCGTCTGTCTTTCGGTCACGGGCGGCCGCGGGGCCAGGCGCATCCGCTCCATGTGACTCAGGCCTGCGTTTTCCTTCCAGTCTGTCACCTGCTTCCGTCCTCTGCTGCGCGGCCCTCGTCTGGGCGCGCGGGTGGACCGCGCACGCGGGTGAACCGCACAGGAACAGGGGGGTGCGCCGTCCGCGGCCCGCCCCCACCCCGGCTGCCGGGTTCGCCGGGGCCTGTCTGGTGCTGTGTCAGGCCGCTGGCCCTGCTGCTCCGGGGTGGACAGCGGTGGCTCGGGCGCCGCGGGGCGCTCTCTGCATCCGTCCGGGGCATCACGCGCTTTTCTCTCTGATCCGCCTCTGTGATGCCTCCAGCGCTGGTCTCGGGCGCCGAGCTGGCTTTGTGCTCAGGAACTGGAGATCCCGTTATTTGTTAAAGGACTCGCTTTATTTGGTCTGGTGGCTTCTGTGTTCCCGACGCGGGTCGGAACCACGTTTTCCCCCCTATAACGTCTTTGTCTGGTTTGTATGAGGCCACCTAGCCTCGCGGAAGGATGTTGTCCTCCACTCCCGGGGCGAGTCCTCCAGAACCAGCGTTCGCTGCCCCGAACCGGGAGAGCTCACGGTGGAGCCGCGGCCGGCAGCGCCCCTCGCGGGGGGCTGTCCCCTGCTGTTTCCTGGCTGTGATCCGGGCGATCTGTTTCTTCTTCAGAAGCTTTGGTAGTTGGTGCTTGTGAGGAGTGTGTCCACTTCGTGTAAGTTTTTGAACCGTTGCTGGATTCACTGGCCCAAGATTGTTCTTCATTTTCCGGCAGCTCCTGCGAGTGTCCCCCCTGACATCAGTGATTTGGCCCTTCGGTTCTCCCTGTTTTTCCTTATTAGTCTGGCTAGCAGGTTATCAATTTTATTGATCTTTTCAAAAGCCAGCTTTTAGCGCCATCGATTTTCTCTATTGTTTTTCTGGTTTTTACTTTACCCCGTATGCTGTTCTCTTTAGTTTTCCTCTGTCCCCTCAGTCTGTTCCTAACTTCCTTCCTTTCTCTAATTCCAGAGGCGTCGTGGCCCGTGGGTGTCGACTGCCCGTCTGCCCATCCCTGTCCGTCGGGCCCGCGCCCGCCCTGCTGCTCAGCTCTCGCTCTCCCCGGCCCGTCCACGTGCTCAGCCCCCCTTCTTTGACTCACGGTTCCTTAGAGGGAGTCACTTGTTTCCCGGCACTTGGGGGGGTTCCCAGATGTTTCACGCTCCTGGTTTCTGACCACCTCACTTTGGCCAGGGGTGTCCCTGCCCGGGGCCCGTCCTGCCCAGCCCCTGCAGGCTTCTCGAGTGGCCAGGGAAGGGAGCCGCGTCCTCCCAGGCGGTGGGGCGGAGTCCCCCACGCGCATCCTCAGCCTGGGGCATCTGGGCGCCCGGGGTTTTCTGAAAGTCCTTCACTAAGGACAGAGCTGCCCGGCCTCAGGTCTCCGCCGGGTGCTGTCACCCTCGCCTGAGGCCAGCGTCCACCCGCCCGCCCCGCCTGCCTTAGAGGACATTCAGCGCAGACGGAACCTGGACCCAGGCCAGGCGGGCTCCGTGACGAGAGCCTGTCAGGGCCCCCGCTGTGGTCTGTGTGAGGTGCACGCGGGCGGCGCGGCCACAGGTGGGAGGCGCGGGAGAGGCTCTGCAGGGCCCAAGGTGCGTCCTGGCATTGCGCCGGGGTGGCCGGACGGGTGGGGCTCCCTCGAGGTCCAGGAGTCAGCGGGTGTGGGAGCACAGGTCCTCTTCTTCGTAAACGAATTTTTATCGTTGTCCCCTTTACTGAGGTGGCCTGGTGGCCACACGGCACGTGACTTGGGGGTGGGGTCGCCCTCACCCGCCCTCCAGGCCCCCACGGCCCCCCACCGGCCTGCCCCCACCCCCATGGGGTCTGTCTCCAGCTCCTCAAGCCCCACCCGCGCCACAGGACGGAGGACCCGGTCTGCTGGGGCCGGGCCTTGAGGCCCCCCAGGCCTGGCCGTGGCCGTCTGGAGTGTCAGGGCTGAAAGGAGCCGAGGACGCAACTGGAGTGGCAGAGGCTGCGGACAGCAGGCCCAGCGTGCCCGGGAGGGCCGGGGGCAGAGCAGGACAAACACGGGTGACAGCAGGCGCCCCTGCAGCTCACGGTGCTGTCCCCACACAGCTGGCGCCGGCGACCGCGTGGGCTGGGCCTTCGGGCTGGGCCTGGAGAGGCTGGCCATGGTCCTCTACGACATCCCCGACATCCGCCTCTTCTGGAGCGAGGACGAGCGCTTCCTGCGGCAGTTCCGCGTGGCCGACATCCACCAGGCGGTGACCTTCCAGGTGGGCCGCCCGCGGGGGCCGGGGCGCGTCCCCGGGAGGAAGGGGGGGCACGAGGGTCAGGGCATAGCTCCGCGCAGACCCCCCACCGGCGGAAGGGCGGCTGCAGCGGGCCAGCCTCGTGCGGGGCCGTCCTCGACTCGCTCCGGGGCTTTGGCAGGCCTTTCCTTAGGCTCCCCGGCAGACGGGAGGCGTCCGTGACGGTGCTGGGACCGAGGCAGAGTGCGCGTGTGGGAAGGGAAACGTGTGTGTGGGGGGTGGATGCGGGGAGGGAGAGGGACAGACAGAGGGAACCGGCGGGACGGGAGGGAGAGGCGAAGCGCCTGCGTTTGTGTCTGTCACACCCTTCGGGGCGTAATTTCAAAACTAACTCCCCGAATGACTATTGATGGGCCCAGCTCTTTATTTCAATAATTAGAAATACTAACAAATAATGGCATTGCTAATTGGAATATCAGTTTTGACAAGCCCTTGCTTATTTCTCTATTAAAACGTCTTCCTGAAAGTATCACAGGAAGTTAATGAATTGCTCGTTAATTAAATGTGAACTTTTCTCCACTAGCCCCCGGGTGGGACGGGCTGAAATGTGGTGTTGGTTGCTCCCTGGCGGGCGGGGCGCGGGGGGCCTGGCTGAGGCACCAGCGGGCGAGGCCAGGGCTATGACCCCACACTGGGGTTCGCCACCTTGAGCAGCGCCCCACCGCTGGGCTCCCTTTGTGCCTGCCAGCCAAGTTGCTGGGGTGATGTCTTGCCAGCGTTTCCCCCTTGTTTGCCAGCCTCTCAGCAAGTACCCCGCCCTGACCAACGACATCTCCTTCTGGCTGCCCCCCGAGGGCTACACGGAGAACGACTTCTATGACCTGGTCCGGAGCGTGGGCGGCGACCTGGTGGAGAGCGTGGACCTCCTCGACGTGTTCGAGCACCCGAAGTAAGCCGGGGCGCGGGGCATGCGGGAGGCCTTCCCGGGGGCGCTTGCTGGGAATCGCCCCAGTGCCTCCCAGTGCCCCTCCTGCAGCAAGAGCGAAGCGAGGGCATCTGTGTCCTGGAGGCCCCGTGGGGCCGTGCGCAGGCCTGCGTCGGGGCCAGGCCCGGGGGCCTGCAGCTGGCATGTGGCTGTGGAGGATGAGGCCTGGGTCTCGGGAGCGTCCATCAGAGCCCACCCCAGCCGTGGCCCGTGGGGCCTGGAGCGGGCGTGTCCAAGCCGCCCTCGCTCTCCCGGGCGTCCGTCCACGGGTGAGGCCAGGTCCGTGCTGGCTGGGCGTGACCGTCCGAGGGCAGACGCAGGGGTCGTGGACACTGACTCGTGTGGCCATCGTCAGGCAACCTTGCAGGGTCTGAGGTCGGGGCTTCTGTGCCTTCCCCAGGCCCCCGGGGCCCCACACCGTCACCTGCCCGAGAGCTCCCTGAGCCCCCTCCTCTTGGGGAGGCTCCGTTAGGTGGCCCTGATGGATGAAATCACAGTGACGGGCTCGGTCTCCCCGGAGAGCAGGGCCCGCAGCCGATCCCCAGCCCGTGCGCAGGGCTGCCGGTGCCCCCTCATCCGGAGAGGGGCTGCAAGTAACAGGCCGCCCGTTTCACCTTCGTGGCTCGGAAGCATTTCCAGAAACTGAGAGCAGGAGGCCAGAGTCACGCCAGGGAGCTCCCAGCAGCTGCCTGCTGCGCAGGAAATGCCGGGGTTCGGGGCTCTGAGCCAGGAGCAGTGACAGGGCCGTCTCTGTGGGAAGTTATCCGGGTCCGGCTGACGTGTACGTTTCTCATAAATCAGTGTTGCTGCGTGGAGGCGACAGACAGATCCCGAGATTAATAAAACCAGAATTTCCAGAACGTGCCACGGCACTGGGTGTGAGGTTATTGAAGTGGGGTTTGGGAGCGCAGGCCCGGAGTCCGAGGACCCCCGGTGGGCTCTTCCTTGTTCTGGTATCCAGCAAGGAAGAAACTCCATGTCCAGGCCAGGCTCACAGAGAAGCCGGGGCCCCGACTGGGCGGGGGACGGGGCCTGGGCCGAGGGGTGGCCTGTCCGTGTGCACAGCGGGGCTGTCCCGGTGCGGGGCCATGCTGGCTGGGCCTGCAGCACAGCGTCCTCAGCCGGCTCGGTGCAGCGTCGAGCGTTTCCTGTCGGCTCTTGAGTCCCTTCCACGGTGGGCTGGCGGCTGAGCTCTCACCAACGCTCATCCAGGAGTCGGTGGACGCGGCCGTGGGCGCCCTTGGTGGGGATTCCCTGGCCGTGGCCCTGACCCGCAGGCCTTGCCCCACCGTGGCAGGATCCCCCAGGAGGACAGGCGGGCTCGGAGCACGGGGGTGCGGTGGGGAGGTCTTCGCTGCCCGCCGAGCTCAGTGAGCCCCGCAGCCGTGTGCGGGCCCCCGGGACGCTCGCAGGGTGAGCGCTTGTGGCCGCTGGCCCTGGGGGCCCGGGGGCCCTGAGTCCCGGGACTGAGTGCACAGCGGGGGGCCAGCCTGACAGCCTGACAGCCTGGGCGGCTGAGACCCCCGGGGGTGTGGGGACACCGGGAGCCACGAAGGGAGAGGTGTGGCCCCGGCGAGGGGCGGGGCGGGTTGAGGTGCTGTGGGTGCACCATCGTGACCCCCATGGCAGGCCACAAAGCAGCATCTCAGCAGCAGGAGGGGTGCCGCTGGCACTGCCCCTAGCCCCCGGGAGGGGACGCCCACCCAGCCCCGGAGCGAGCCAGCGGGTGCAGCCAGTCTGGGCCTCGAGCTAGAGGGGCCGAGAAGGGGCCCAGCGGCTGCTGGCCCTCGGGAGCCAGGCCTAGCGGGGCCCACCCGGGGCGTGGCAGTCGCTGGGCCTCCGTCCCCGCCCCGTGCCCCGCCGGCCCCTCCTGCATCCCCGTCAGGGGCTCCCTCCGCCCTCCGCCCGCCTACGCAGTCGAGAGTCTGTGGCCTGCTGCTCCCCCAGGGAGGACGCAGGTTTAGCAGCTTCCGTTATATTGAATTTGACTTACAAATGGTGACAACTTGTAGATAAATGGGCGCTGTGTTTTCTGTTTTCTGAGTATTCTATATGCGGCCACATAAGCAAATGTTTAATTTATTTTCACTCGGGGGCTGCTGGGCAGCGGCAGCGAGTGTGATGATGTTCCAGCGCACGCCTGGTGGCCTTCCAGAAAGCTCTGTGAAGCTCAGCAGAGCCGGGGGTCCCTGGGGATCCGCCCGAGGCTGGGGTCTCCCTGCTCGTGCAGAGAATCAGTGCTTTTCATCTGCATTTATGGGAATTAAAATCGTGTTTCCTGATCTGTGTCTTTTTAGGGGGAAAGAAGTTAAAAACCCGGAGTCTGACACCGTACAGGGGATCAATAATCAGTATTTAGCGAACAAGGTGTTTGATAAGCTTGCTTGTGTTGACCTGTTAAGTCAATGAAATAAAGAGCACGCGTGCATACACACAGTGGGTGGGTTAGGCGGGCGGGCGGGTGTGCAGGTGGATGACGGCCCCGGGCCGCGGCACAGAGACCCACGTAACGCGTGTCCACGGTGCCCCCGCCGTCTCCGAGGAAGGGCTCTGCGGAGGAGTGGAGTTCCAGGAGAAGATGCCCTCCTTTGAGGAAAGCCGGGCGGGGTGGCTGCGGCGGGAAGGTGGTGCCCGCCTGTGCCCGCGCGGTGATGGCGGAGCGGGGTGGGCTGCGGTGCCTGGCGGTGAGTCCGGCCAGCCAGGCCAGACGCCGCCGGCGGGGCTGCTCCGGGGGACCGGCCCGTGCAGGGTAGCGGGCGGGCCCTGCACTCCAGGCGCGGGGCGAGCTCGCCCGCAAGTGGCTTCCGAGTTACTCTTTCAACGCGAACTAGCGGCTCCTCCGCCTGCAGGCGGATTTTGCGAAATGCGAGATCTCGTTAAATGCAGACCCGTTCCACTGTCCTCAGAAACAGGCATCTGTGCCGCCTTCCGTGGACACTCTTGAGACTGACAGGGGGCGTGTGTCAGCCCCTGGCCTCTGGTGCTCTAGCCCGGGGCCTGCTTAAACTCTCAGTCACAGCCTCGCGGGGCCGTCGGGAGGAGCAGAGCCGCCGTGATTATCTGCCGGCGGCTCCGGGCCCGGAGGCGGAGCCTGTGCTCTCCGTGCAGCCCGTAGGGGCCCTCAGAGCCCGCGGCCTCCCGGTGTGCGCTCCTGGAGGTCAGTGTGGACAGACTGGGCCGACCTGCACGGCGTCTCACTGCAGGCGCGGTACAGGGGAGCCCGCTGGAGAGAGCCCGGAGCACAGTTGCTCCTGGAGCAAGCCGGGGACGGTTCTGACCTTTGGGAGGGGTGTGCGCCCCGCTTCTGAGAGCGACCCCGAGAGGGCAGCACCGGAGCCCCTGCGAGAGTGGGGAGCCCCGCCCCGCCCTGACCCGTGCCCCGCCCCCCCCAGGCTCCCCACGGCAGCTGTTCTCGCATGTTCCAGCTCCTCTCCTGCACGCTGGCGCGGCCCGTGCTCTCCGGCCCGGCTGCCGTGAGGCCGTGAGCTGAGACAGCCTTTCTCCAGCCATGCGCCGGCCTGGCTGGACGCAGCAGGGAGAGCCCACGTGCTGGCCGGACGCCCCAGGGAGGAAGCAGCAGCGCTCTGCCCCCTTCACGCCCCCTCCCCCCAACACACGGCTCCTCCCCACCCCGTCCCCCCCAGCTCCGCCCGGCCTTCCCGCCCAAAGAGCGGCTGAGGACTGGCCTGACCTGGTGCCGGGGGCGTCCATCCTCAGTCTCCCCACGCGGGGGCGCGTCCGGTCCCGTCCGTAGCAGGGTCCCTGCTGCATGATGGCCGTGCGGTTCCCACCAGCCTCGTGGCGCTCAGGGTGCAGCCGAGCCGAGAGCGGTCCCGGAGAGGAGCCGTGTGCATGCGGGATGCGGCGGCCGCACGGGCAAAGCACCCAGCCCCGAGCTTGCGCCCTCCGGGGGTGGCCACGCGGGAAGGCCGGGCCAGGGTGGCCAGGGCGGGCGGGCAGGCCCCGCTGACGGGGGGAGCCCGTGTGTCAGACACGCCTCGCGGACGTTCAGGCAAAGGCCCCGCGTGGCCGGAGCCGGCCCGGCCGGGCCCGGGCTTCTGAATTGAGTCACGGCTGCAAAACCATCGGAAAGTCTCTGAGATCCCAGCGTGCTCTAAAAACTGCCGAGACGCGCTCCTGATTTGTGGGAGTCGCCCGGCAGCGCGGCCGCACCCCGCTCTTCCTCTCCCCGAAGCCAGACTTGGCGGGCCGGGCCGGGGCGTCCGCCACTCGCCGCTGCTGCTGGGGCAGATGCCGCGAGCTGGACATCCCGGCCCGCGGTGCCCAAGCCATGGCTGCCGCGCGTGCCTCGGCCCTCACAGCCGTCCCTGGAGGGGGCGGCGTCCTCCCAGCGCTGCGGAGGAGGACGTGGACATCGGGATGAGTAACTCCTAGAAGGCGCGCGCGCCGCGGTCGGCCTCCGACGCCTCGGCTGTCTGTGGAGTCAGAAGCGCTCCTGGCGCTGCTTGCCGGGAACGGGCAGCCTGGCGGGAGACGCTCAGCCGCGGGGGGCCGGAGTGACGGGGCCGCCGCTGACACGGTCGCAGCTTCTGCTCAGCCCCGCGGCCCCCAGCACCGGGTCAGGGCGTGTAACAGCCGAGGGGCTGGGGGGGCTCACGGCCGCGGGGAGGCCCGGCTGCCTCCGCGAGCCCCGGCCGTCCAGAGAGAGGCTCCCGCAGGCGGCCTCCGGGGAGGGGCTCCCGCGAGGCGGCGCAGCTGTGGGGGGTGCTCGGCCAGCCCACCTGGGCCGTGCGCCCCGCGCGGGAGTCGGGAGCCGGGGTCACGTCTGGACTCCCTCTCCAGGATGAGGCTTTGTGCGGCTTCAACTTATTTGCAGATAATTAACCTCGGGGTCAGGAAATCACCCCTTGCGCCGCCGCGGAGATTGGAGTCAGGTTCTCGGGAGAAGCAATCGCCGGGCCTCGGGCGGCCGTGCTGGGGGCGGGGAGGAAGCGTGCGGCTCTCTGCTCTGTAATTAAGGACCCGGGACGGCAAAGATGAATGAAATGCCCACCGGTGAGAATGGGATTCGGTTTCCAGCGGCGGAAATTGAAGCTGTGTCGGTCTCGGCTCCAGAGGCGGCGCCCGGGGACACGGGCCTCCCGCTCAGCCGGCCCCAGGAGGCCCCGGAGGGCTTGCTCAGGGGAAGCTTCCCCGCCCCACGCAGCCGGGGACTGGACACCACGGGCGCTTCCTGGCGCGGAGGTCACTGCCCGCCCGCGCCCCGCGGAGCCGCCGTCCACACTGTGCCCGTCCGGCCGACCGCAGTGCCGGGAGCGGCGCGTGAGCCGGGGCAGCTCACACAGCGGCCTCGGGGCCAGCGAGACCCGGTCCCCCAACGGGAGGCCCCTCCTCACCCCACACTGGCTCCGTGAGTGTGAGGCTGGAGGGAGGCTCAGAGCCTCAGACCTGCTGGTGCGTCCAGGTCAGCGTGGGGCCCAGCGAGGCCTTCGGGGCCACCTGCACGGCGGCGCCTCCCCCCAGAACGAGCCAGGGCCCCCCAAGGCCTGCACAGGGGTGGCAGCTTCAAGGAGAAAGCTGAGTCCCTGATTATTCCCAGACACGCAGCCGACTGCGTTGTGGATTATATCAAAACACAAAACAAACCCAGAGCTGAACCTGGTCTGGAAACAAAGGCTGAAAACACTCCCACTTCGGCCTCCGGCCCCTGCTGCTCCGTGTGCCCCGAGGCTGAGTCTGGGGGTCTGGCCCTGTGCTCAGCCCCATTGCAGGAAGGCCCCGGGACAGGGTCCCTCTCCCCACGGGGTGGGGGTGGGGTTAACTGAAGCCTTGGCAGGTGCGTAGCAGACCCAAGAAGTTGGCCTCCTTGGGGTGCACATGGGGGAGCCGGGGGCTCTGGAGAAGGGTCTGGGGGAGTGCGGGCTCCAGGCCCCTCCATCCCAGGACGGGGGCCGCTATCCAGCTCAGGGAACAGTGGAAACTCAGGGGTTCCTGGTGGGCGACAGAAGCAAGGTCAAGGTGACCCTAGATCCTGCCTCCAGCCTCGTCCTGGAGAGATCCCCCCCCCCCCCCCCCCCCCCGCCACCGCCACCCCAATTCCGGCCCTCCCACTGCGCTCGCCTGGGGCCGAGCCTCCGCCTCTGGCTCGGTGGGGGGGGGGTGCCTGCCGGTGCCTGCCCGAGTCCCGGACCCATGCCCTGCGCCCCGGCCTCTGCCCGCAGTGCTGAGGACAGGAGATGACGGACCCTGGGACGGTGGGGGTCCCGACACCCCGCCTTTCGGATGGACATGGGCAGCCCCTGAAGCTGGCCCGCGAGTGAGTCCCCGGGACAGAGGTAGCTGTGGGGACTGGTGGGTGACGGCTCTGTCCTCCCCAGCGTGGCGAGAAGATGGCAGGAAGTGCCGAGGCCGCGGGAGCAGGACGGCTGCCCCGTGGCCTGTCTCCTGCCTCATGAGCCCCGCCCCTCCCGGTCCCCACAGGCTTTGCTCCTGACTGCGATTCTCCCTGAGGGGGGCTCGTTAGGACCTGCTGTGCCCCTTCTGTTTTATTTATTTATTTATTTATTTATTTATTTATTTATTTATTTATTTATTTATTTATACAAGCACTGGGGACAGTCAGAAGCGCGGGAGGGTGAGAGAATTCACCAGAGCCAGAGCGGGGAGCAGAGCAGGCAGAAGGACAGAAGTACACTGCTGAGGGGAGCAGCGGGCGGCAGGGGAGGTCTGCGTGCCATGCGGGACCCTCGCCAGCGGCTGGGATTGAACTGGCGCTGCAGAGGCTGCGGGCAGCTTTGCAGCCCAATGCTCAACAGCTGCGCCACCGGGGGAGGCCCCCCACTTCTGTTTTATTGGGACCAGGTTGGTCAACAGATTTATCCCAAATGGGGCAGCTGGCCGGCCCCACTGGCGCTGACCACTGCCTCCCCAGCCCCTGGCACAGCTGCTTTTCTCTTGAAAGTACGTTTTGGGGCTTCCTGCTCCCCAAAGCCACCCCACTGAGGTGAGGCCCGCTCCGCCTCTGCTTCCTGTGCTGGGAGGGGGCCAGCCCCCCACTTGCCGAACCCCTGGCCAGGACCCCTCCCTCCTGCGGGCAGCCCAGGGGAGCAGCCCCTGGCCCCGGCACGGAAGCAGACCCCACAGGCACCCCCTGGCGTGCGCTGGGCGGACGGGTCACTCACCCCCTCTCCGCTCTTCCAGGACCGGCAGGACCAGCCACTGCTACCGCGTCACCTACCGGCACCCGGAGCGGACGCTCTCGCAGCAGGAGGTGGGGCGCGTGCACCGGGCAGTGCAGGCTGCGGCCGTCCAGCAGCTGGGCGTGGAGGGCCGCTTCTGACACCCGCCGAGCCCCGAGGAACTGGGGCGTCTGTGCCGTGGTGAGTGGGTCTGCCCAGGACTCCAGCAAATAAAGGCGCCTGCAGGAGCGTGTCTGTGTCTTCTGTTGGGGCGGGTGGGGGCGTGGGGGCACAGGCCGTGGGATGCGTCCCCTCCGGCGGCCTCCCCGTGGCGCTGCCCGTGGCCGGTCTCGCCCGCTGCGGCCGCCTCCCTCTCCTCGCTGCAAGGGCCGGCTCCGAGGGTGTCTGGGGCACGTGGCCCGAGCCAGGGCTACCCCCAGCGGAGGTGCCATCCGCTCCCCACGCGGCCCGGCCCTCAGACTGGGCCCGGCCCAGAGGGGACCGCCATGGAGGCCGCTGCCCCCGCCCAGCTATCAGCAGATGCCCGCAGGCCAGGGGCCTTGCAAGCGCCGGTGAATATTTGATGAGGGGCCGCGTCGGCGGGGGCTGCTCTCCCGGGGAGAGGCGGGCGTCTCTCAGCTCCCGACTTCTCCGGGCCCTCCCTGCGGCTCCAGGAGCCAGGACTGTCCGGCCCTGGCCATGCGCCTGCTGGCCCGGAGGGCAGCCTGGCCCGTGCAGAGCCGCGTCTCGGCCGCTGCCTGCGCCGCGTTCCCTGCCCACGGTCAGACTCGAGGGCGCCCATCTGGCGGCCGCCGTGGTGGACAGGACGCGCCTCAGCCGGTCACCGCACGGGCCCAGCCGTCAGGCCAGAGCCGCCCCCGCCGGACCCCAGCGAGGCCCCCCCAGCTTTCAGGACGTTTTCACCACCGAGAAACTCGTTTGTGACTCTCCTCCCCGAGGACCCCCCGTTTGAAAAGGTTTTCATCTCGCCAAACAACTGCATTTATCGAGTAATAATTTATTCATCTCCCCATTTTTTAAATTAATCAAAGATATATATATAACTGCCAGCCGGAGCCCCGGATCAGCAGGAGACAGCCCTTATTACCACCCTGGGTGGATTTAATTCCTGCCGAAAGCAAAGAAACTTGACATTTCAGATCGTCTCAGCAGCCTCGTGGGGGGCGGTGGAGGCTCCACGCCTCGCTTGATGGAATCTTCCAAACAGCGCCCAGACCTCCGGCCTCACCGGGGCCTGCAGCCCCTCGCAGGGACGGGGCACGCGGCGTCCCTGCCCAGCGTCTGGCCCCCGAAGGCCGAGGGCTTTGCCGCCCAGACCGTGCCCTGCGGCCTGGCGTCTCGGAACCGCCGCCCCAGCCACCGTGGTCCCTGAGCCCCCCGGCCGGGGAGGCCAAGGCCAGGCGGCTCCTGGTCGCAGGCGGCAGAAGCAGACGCTGCCACGGGGAGCAGAAGCAGCCGCCTCGGGAGGTGGCGCCCGAGGCCCGGGAGACCGGAGCCGGCGCCAGGGCGAAGCCCGCGGGAGCTGTCGGGCAGAGCAGGGCCGTGGTGCCAGGCCCTCGTCTGGGAGGCGACCGGTGCGGCTCCAGGAGCAGTCTGGACTCAGGAGGCCCGGGGCTGCCGGGAGCAGCGGCCGCCGGGACCCACTCGCACGGGCTCTGCCCTCCCTCCGCAGGCGCCGGGCTCCCCGCGGCCAGTTCCTCCCCTGGGCTCCAGGCGAGGTGGACCCTCAGCAAGGGCTGGTCCCTTGTAAAGAAAGTTCTTCCTCGAGCAAACGCTTGTGTGCTCAGAGCCAGCGGGCTGGGCTCAGTTTTGGGGGTCCCATAGCGCGGGCAGTGTCCAGAGCACCTGGCCAGGAGCCAGCTGGACACGGGCCGACTGTCCATCCTCCCCCTGGCTGCTGGCCCTGGCCACCGCCTGTCCCGGGCCCCATCACGGCCGTGGGGCCCAGTGCTGCTCGGCCGGACGCCCCTGGGCACAGCCGGGCTGTCTCCGCCTCGTGGCTGACGTGGTGCGGCCCTGGCAGCGGCTCGGGCCAGGCTGTGGTCCCGGGGGCTCCCAGGGGTCTCCCCGGAGCCGCAGCGGGAGGTGGAGCCCTTCCCCCGGGGCCGAGTCGCCTCCGGCTGCTCCCTTCTTCACCCCGGGCGCGGCCTCCTGACGGGGTTCCGGGAGGGAGTGCCCGTGGCCCCTTGCTGGCCGACACACGCTGCGGAGCTGGAGGCCTGAGGGGGCCGGAGGGCGGGGCCCAGAGCTGTGCGGGGTGGCGCCGGCACCGGCTCCCCGCGGTCCACTGTGGCGCGTCCCCCGGTGCTGACCAGTGACGAGGGTGACGGCGGGCAGCCTCCCTGGTCTCCTCGGGAGCACACGGGTCCTGGTCTCGAGCCAGACGGAGTCGCCCGCCCGGGCGTGGCCCGGGCCTGGTGGCTGCTGTGGGGACGGACGCGTCTTGCGGGGTCTGTCCCGGGCGGCAGGAGCTGGGCCAGCCGGAGGTGCCCGAAGCCAGCGGGGCCGGGGCGGGGTGAGCCCTGCCCCAGGACGGCCGGATGCCCCCCTCGCCCCACCCCACCCCGCCCAGCCCCCAGCCTCCTGCACCCCCACTCTGCCCACCCCGCGGAGGCCGGGCCTGGCTGGGAGGAGGCGCCCGGGGCCCAGGCGCGGGCCTGGAGGCAGAGCCGTGCCCGCGCGTGAAAAGAGCAAGTGTTTGCAGCGAGGTGCCGGAGCAAGCCTGCCTGGCGCCCCAGCCCCGCGTAGCACACGCGTGCAGGGAGGCTCTTGGCTCCCACGGCTGGTAGACGTCGGCTGGCAGATCTGGGACCTGAGAAGAGACTGTTGGCGTCACGCTGTGTGCAAAGCCAGGAGGGGTTTAACAGCTAAAGGGGGACAGGGAGGGACGGCGCCCTCGAACGCTGCCAGGACGGCGCCACTGGCTGTTTCTTCTGGCAGGTTCTGGAAACTGCCGACTCCGAGCCGGAGGAGCCTGCTTATGGGGCGCTGTTGCCCTGCATGGGGGAGGGGAGCCGGGGCGCCCCTCCTGCCCTCCCTGGCACGGCTGCGGGTCCACAGCTCCTGGGGTCGGCTGCGGGGTCCCAGCACAGCGGGCACTGCAGGACGGGGCAGGAGGACATCATCGTTGTTGCCACGAGACTGATGAGAAGCTTCAACGTGCCCGTGCAGATGCAGATGGCACTTGGCACCCAGCAGGGCTTGTTCTGGAAACACTCAGACCTCGGAGCTCAGGACAACGTGTCTGTGCCCCAGGGGCGAGCGGGCTCTGCCCGGCTGCCCGTCCCAGCTGCGGAGGCTTAACACAGATGCGCAAGGGCCATGGGGCTCGGGCTACACTGTCCCTGCACCCAAGGGTCCCTGCAGGCCGAGGGTTCCCACCCCTGCAGCCCCCAAGCGGGGCCCCGGGCGTGTGCCCCGGAGTGGGGTGGAGACCTTCCCTGTGCTCCCCTTTCTGCCTCCAGACCCTGCTCCGGGAGAGGCAGGACAGAGCGTGGCAGACCCGGCCGGGCCCCTTGCAGCCTCTCCCAGGAGCAGAGCCGCAGAGCAGGACTTGCTCTGTCCAGGTGTGGCCCCACCCCAGGTTGGTGCGGGGTCCCGGCAGCCACCTCGCACCTGGCTGGCTGTCCCGGGGTGAGGGATCTGCCACCTGCTACCTGAGCAGGAGCAGGAGGCCCTCCCAGCCCACTGCAGGGGCTTGCTCTCGGGCACCACTGAGGGGCCAACTCAAAAGTCAGGAAATGCAGTGGGGGGCAGCGCAGGGCCAGTACCGCTGAGGGCGGGGGAAGGCTCTCCAGGAGGGACGCCGCCTTCCCTTCCAGTCCAGTCTCCTCCCGCGGCCCTGCGTCCAGAGGAGGGGGGCGGCCTCTCTCCTGCAGTCCTGCGAAGGGCCCTGCTGCAGTCATCCCTGGCACAGAATTCAGACACACCCCTTAGCCACGGAGTCGGGAGGAACAAGCTATTCCTCCAAAGCGACTTTTTAAAATATGGCTGCTCTTCCATCGAGATAAAGACAGGAAATCTGAGACCCAGCAGCACGAGGGCACCCGGGGCTGTGCGGTGTCTGCCTCGCCCCTGCGGTCCCGTGGGTGGGCAGCACCTGTATTTAAGAGGGGCCTGGAGCTCGGCCAGCACAAGGGAGGCCAGGGTGGGGAAGCCCAGGGTCCTCCCCGAACTCCACTGGAAGATGTGGCCACCAGCCCTCCGGGGAGGACAGCTCAGGAAGGAGGCCAGGCACAGGAGGCGGGCGCCCAGTGAGCGCCCTCCCGCGGGGGCCGCGAATGCGGGGAACCCGGGACCGGGGTGTGGAGGCTGCGGAGGGCGGAGCCCGGGGGTCGCGCGCTGGCGGGGCCGGCCGGGGCGCTGTCCGCGGTGCTGAACCCGGCGCTGTCCGCGGTGCTGAGACCCCGGCGCTGTCCGCGGCGCTGAGACCCCGGCGCTGTCCGCGGTGCTGAAACCCTGGCGCTCTCCGCGGTGCTGAAGCGCAGCAGCCGGTGGTCATGAAATATTTATGAATGGGGAGAGGATGCGCATTCTGCAGTGCAGCGCAGGGGAGGGCCAACTTTCGAGACTACTGTAATAGCAAAACCCTCCATTAATTATCGGAAGCAAGCCGGAACGCCAGTTCCTATGGCAACGGGGTCCCCAATGGATTTTGTGCTTTTTTTTTTCCCAGCTGCTCCCATTTACCCTGGTACATTGCATTTGTTTTCCACCAGAGGTTTGTGCTTGTCCTTTGCAAATGGATTCGTCTTGTCCTCGCAGTGGCGGGAGTGGGGGCCGACGGGCAGGGCCCGGGGAAAGTTCAGGATTATGCAACTTTGAGCTAAATGTTCCATCAGGAGCGTGGAGGGGCTGGAGCGCTTCCACTCTGGCAAGGTGGGCAGGGAGGGCAGCGGGGCAGGCGGGGATCTGTCCCAGCCCCCACTCTGTGGTTTGCAGTCCAGGTTGCGCGAGGGAGAGCCCTTCCCAGCGGGTGGGCCACAGCCCCCTTGGAGTCTCACGTTTGCACGGGGTCTCCACTGGGGCTCCCGGCGGGGCTGGGTTCCTAGGGCAGCCAGCAGCCCCTCTTACTTGCGGTGCAGCCCTGTCCACTCTCCACCAGACACCAACTCCCCTCGCAGGCTCACATGCAGCTTTAACCTTGTGCAGCTCCCAGGAGGCGCTTCCTAGAAGACAGCCTGTGACGGGGCGGCCCAGGACGCTCTTGGGAAGCCTCTGTC